TGGCAGACACTGAGTGTATTCCCCGAGACACCACAGAGAGCTGGTAACGTGGCCCATAGCTAAGAAAATGGCAGCAACAAAAACCCACAGGGCAACTAGAGTGCCAATTCAGCTGGCTAACAGTCACCTGGACTGGCCAAGCTCAAAGAGCATACCCTTTTTCAAATACAAACTGCCTTAATTTACTTTCTCTCAACTAAAGGATGAAGAATATGTAGAAAATCTGTAAAAAGACCTGCCATTCTGAATATCCTTTTCAATTTTTTAGTTTTCTTTTACTGAGACTGAAGGATGACATAAAAAAACCAGAGTGAAGAAAAGGGATATGAATACATGAAAATTAATGGAAAATAAGTAGATAACAATTAAAAGAATAAAAAAATAATTTAGGTGTTTTTACTATTGTTTAGATTTGCAATTTAATAATAACAGCACTCCTCCTATAGGAAGGGAATAATTTTAAATGAATCTTGAAAAACTGGTGATTTTAACGAATGTTACTAAGAATACATATGTGGAATGCATAATCCTCTCATAAAATATTTAGTCCTAAAGTACCTTCTGTAATCATGCAATAGACAAAATTCTTATTGAGTTCATTGGAAGATATGGAATGAACTTAACTGGTACTGGAGGTTTGGCAAAGACTATGTGAAACAAAATGAAGAGAGGCCAGGTACCCCCATGAGCAGATGAGCTAGTTAAATACAGGGTGTGTGGCATACGAGAGCTTGGTGACATGTCTCTTTAGAGTCTTGATAGGATAGGCTAACTTCCCTTCCCCCAAACTGGTGTTTTTGGTTTTTTTCTCTTCCTTTCCAGTATTAGCTAACCCTGTTTGTTTCAAAAAGTTTATTCTCTCATTTCACTTTCCTCTAGTACTTGCATGCCTGCCTGGCACAGGCACAGATGGGAGAAGGTGGCTCAGAGATGATATGGATCACAGTGGAGGCATTTCACAAACTCCAGCAGCCCCTGGCATAGAGAGATTATAAAAGAGCTTTGGCTTCCCTTTTAGTAACACATCAACCTAGCAAGGTGGCCAAGTGCCATGGACCCCTCTGAAGACAAGGAGAATAAGAGAATGGTGGAGAGCATTAACAAAAACAAAGTGACCCTGGGAAAGCATACTTGTGCATACCATGACTAACTGGAAAATGAGCTCTACATTTCACAGAGAAGGGAAGGAGAAACAACAGGTAATAGGAGACAAGGCATCATCATCAAATACTACAGGCTGATCTGCTCTAAACTCACTGCTTGACATGTGAAGGCAAAAAACTAGCAAATAAATGGCCACTTAACTGCTGTTAAGCCAGAACTGACTTAAAACCCTTTTTAGAGGCTCTAAACTGCACAGGAGACTTATCCAGGAGCAAAACAAAGCTTTCAAAGAATGAGAAAACACAATGTTTAACAGCAAGGAAAAATAATGGTGTAACAAAATTTACATCCCTGAAAATGAGAGCCCATCTTGCTCCCATGGAGCCAGGGTGGATTCAAACCACCTGCCTTTGAGTTGGCAACACAATTCCCTACCCACTAGGGCAACTGGAGCTCCTCCTACAGTAGAGAAGACTTCATGTCATTTCAACCTGTTCTTTACATTTCTTTTCTTTATGTTTTTTAGGATAATGGGTAGAAGTAGATAGGGACAGGTAGAGCTTAAAAAAATGAGGAGCAGGTTCAAAAAAGGCTCCTAGATCTGAGGACACACTCCTAATTTGTGCTACAATTCAGTGCTAAAGGCAGACAATATACTTTTAGACAAAGCAATTGCAGATTCACTGTGCTGATATATGTTATACATACACATAGTGCCTATACTAACTTTATCAAAGTCATTCTTTATATCTAAGGACATTAAACACATTAAAGTTATCCAATAACTTTATGTGTGTTGAGTAGCTGGAGCATACCCAGAGGCACCTCGGAAGAAAGGGTTGGCAATTTAATCTAAAAAATCAGCCACTGGAAACCCTATAGAGCATGAGTCTACTCTGACTTAGGGGGTCAGCAGACTCAATGGCAACTAGAAGGGCATCAGTAAAGAAGGGACATGCACATACATGCACACATAGCATTTTAAAAAATTATTTTTAAATGTATTGCCGTAGCCATCAAGGGAAAGATCTTTGTAGGATTTATTGTATACTTAGCATTTGCCAAATATTGTTTGAAATTTTAGTACATCATTTCCCCCCTCTGTTGTTGTTGCTTAGGTTCTTTAAATATTTTATCAAAGGCAATTGTATTCTAAGATTTTAGGCTTTGGAATGCACAGGCATATAAGCACTGTGATAGGCTACTGAGTAAACTCCCAGATGGTTTTTTAGAGCTTTGGAGAAAGTTACAAAAAGAAGGAAAAAACAACAAGAGGCTATGAAGCCATAGAGTAATTTGTTGCTGAAAAGTATGACCACCAGATGTGGGCAAATACTTTCCAGTAGTGCGACCAAAGACCAAGTGTTCACATTGTCCACTTGAATTTATGTCGGAGGACGACACTTTCTCCCTCCTTTTAGAAAAGGGTAAAGCTTTTGATTATTGCAGAGGGCAAAGTTATAGGTATATATATATTACAAATTGTAATAGTTTCAACCACAACTGAAATGGAATTATTTAGTACTTCAATATAAACATTTTCCTTTGTATAACATTGAAATTTATAAAGAGTTATTTCCCAAATATTTATCATAATCACCAAAAAGTACAGAACTTTGAAATGGTAAATAAAAAACAGAAATGACATGTGACTGAGCAGAAAGGATAGAAAACAAAACTCTAGCTTTGTGAAAACAATCAGTATTTTTCCATGTACATGGTACTTAGTCTTGATAGCTCTGTCTGAAGATTATCCATACCCTTAATTACTTCTATAAGTAAGTGATGACTTTTTCAATTTTCAATGGAACTCTTGTATTCCCAGAGTTATGTATTCCCAAAGATTCCTGGGTTTTATGTGCTCTATGATTAATTTCTTATCTATGTCTTATAGCTTCATAACTAGTTTATCCTTCATAGTATAATTGGCAACAAACATATTTTGATATATATATTTAGAAAAGTTATTTGCACACATGTAAAACTCAGAGAAAGAAAGTGTATTTTGAGATGTAGGATTTAGTAACTCAAAAGGCAGAGATCTGACTAGAGGTTGATATTTTAGAGTTCCCCTATAATACTCTTCTTCTTTGTTCAGATCAATGACATCTATTCTTAGACTTGTGACACTTCAGGACATCTCATCTCCTGCGGTGTAGTCAATTGATTCAACTAAATGCCAACTCAAAGAATTTAACTTAAAAAACAGACAACACATATTTGAAGGCAAACACGGCATGTTCTAGATACAAAAGAAGTCAAAGATATCTAAAAGACTTTATCTCTGTCAATTATATTTTAACTTAAACCAATTTATGAATAGGTATATAAACAAAGAAAATTAAGCAAGAGGAGATGGTCTGGGTAACTTTGTTGTTAAATCAGATTAAGTAAGGAGCTAGAAACTTGGACCATAATTTTTGTGAAAAACCTTTGCTGACTTCTTTATCAATGAATGAATGAGAACTGATTGGTAACTGGGAGACCATTTGTAATACCCTCCACCTATCTATATCCATTAAGAAGCTGGTACCATAATAATGGCTTACAATATCTATAAAGTGTTATTGTTGTGTACTGTCAAATTGGGACTGAACGATGGCTGACCATTCATTCAGTTTTCAGAGGCAGTTAATTTCATGGAGAGAAGAGTGTCCATCTTTCTCCCATGGAGTAACTGGTGGATCTGAACTGCATGCCTTCGGGTTGGCAGCACAATTCTTTTTTTTTTCCTTTTCATTTTTATTAATTTTAATAAACATTTACAGAGATTTCGGATTTCCATTCATTCATTGCTGCACTTTTCTCCCTGCCCACCCCTCCCCACCAGTTCGCTCCTCTCTTTGAAAAGGAGAAAAAAAGAACCTTCCTTCATTGGTATACAGTTCCCCCATCCCCTCCCACCCCCTTGCACTGAGTACACTTCTCTATGCAACCTTAATTCTGGACTCCTGTGTTAACCATAATACTCAGTTATATATCGCCTCTAATCTGTTCTTTCCCTCATCTGTCTCAATACAGTATACATAATTTATCCAGTTTTTTCTCAGTCTTATCCCAACCCTGATGTCAGTCCCATTCTACAACAGTAGCACCATGCAGTATTTGTCCCTTTGTGATGGAGATATTTCACTCAGTATGATGAGTGACAGCATAACAAGCCATCCGAGCTCCCTTATAAAGCATTAGTTTATTTAAAAACAAACATAGGTAAAAAAAAAAACCAAACAAAAACCGAACATGGACCAAAGATATTGGAAGATAGGTGGGAAATACTTAGCTTAATTTTGTTAACTTTTTCCTTAGCTTGTGACTTAAAACTTTTAACCTGAGATTTTCCTGTGTTTGCACATCACTGCTTTTTCAATATCTAATTCTAAACTTTCTTGGTTACCATGAGGTTAATAAATAAAATACTATTTTGAGTTTATAAGGGGGAATCTGGCTTACAGTCATTATATTTTGCTGTACCTTCCAAGTTTCTAATAAAATAAGTTTCCTGATGGGTCACTGCCATGGGCTTCATAGCTATAATTCAAATACCCACGTCAGCTAGTTTGATAAATGTGGACAAAAATGTAGAAAAGTAGCACGCTACTATGCTCTCAAAACAAACATCCCTAACAATAAATGTTTTAAATTAAGCTTATTTTTTCATTATGCAAGCCTGTTATTTCCCTAGAGAATGCAATTTCCACCTGTACTTTTTTCCCTCTCCTCTGTCCTGTTGCCTATTTAAATATGTTGCCCATCTTTTATAGTAAGCCTTAGAATCTTAATGGGAAGTTTCTTTTAAATTAGGTCTTTGCAACAAATTTTTTAACATATTTGAAAATCAAGCCTCTAAAAGTTATGAGTTACAACAGGGAGGGAAAAAGAGAAAAAGTATATCTTGCCTTATTTGTAGCAGTAGCACTGGATCCAGGGACCACAGGCACATTCGTCACTTGAACTGAAAGATAATTATTATCGATGAGTGGCCAAGCCCCTTCCACTTTGCATGTTTGAAAGTGATCCTTGAAAGTTCTCAGGTGAGGATCCCCGAATAAGCCACAAAAAAGGTAATTAGGAGGGTTCTGTTCCCCTCCCCTGTGTTCTCTGGCTCCTGCGTGGCTGTGATAGTTACAAGGATCATGGGTCACTTCAGGGTTGGTAGAGGACGTGGGTCCGTCCTTGGAACAGTTCCTCTGGCTCATGAGGTCACTGATACCCAATACAGCAGAATGGTATACCAGATTGCCACGGCAGGCCTTTGAAGTTCGTTGGGTGCAGCCGGCATAAGCACGGAGGGCCTTGCAAAACTCAGAGTCAAAGCCGTCAATGGCAGAGTTCAGGTGTGAAGTCAGGGAAACAAAGTCGGTGGTACATTTCTGGATTCGACATTGTGCTGGCTGTTGGCAGTCACCTATGAGAAACAAGAGAAATCAGATCTTTTTAAACACTTCTGAACTTTCTGAGCTACATGAGAAAATGACATTCTCCTCTGGGAACTGTGTGCTCATTTCATATTTTCCTATTTTAAGAAGGCATTTAGAAATAGGGTTGCCTTGTGTTCCTATGTCTCTCTCAAATAAAGGCAGGAAAAAAGTGTATGCAGTCAGCTTACTTAAAACTTTAAAGAGTGGGCTCTCATGAAGGCGCTCCACTCTATACTCTCAAGGAAAAATTATAAGGGAATGGCAAATGAAACAGACCAAGTTTACTATTTGCTTATCTATTTTGAGTAAGATTCCTCCATTCTAGGATCTAACCAAAGGTAGATCTTTATTTTGATTTAAAAAATGGCATTAAATAATTTGCTTCTGAAAGCACTGTGAAAATACCCTATAGGTGCTCAAAATCATGACTAAGGCCTTCACGCCTTGAGAAGGGAAGAAAGAAAGTACCAAATTATAGCACAGTGAGGTAACAGTTTTGGTAATACTACAGGGAAAATATCAAGATAAATCCAAGTAGTAAAGTATTTTGTACTATTTTAGGAACACATGAACAAATTGCACGGAAACTGACAGCCTCTTATTGTTTACAAAGTACAAATGCTATTTGGAAAAAAAGAATCAATTTAAATAAGCAGCATATTTACTTCTGCCTTAACATCTATTCCAATCTCCCTAGGATCCCAGCTCCCAAGCAGATTATAAGTAAATGATATCTACACTCTATCACAAAACTATGCTACAGAGATAGATGATCCCACCAAATATTCCAGAAACAAAAAAACTATAAAATACAGAATTCTTAATTATACACGTCATTTTATTCCTTAAACTGACAAGCCATATAAATGTAATGATTTAAACAAATCTCAAAAACCAAGAACTGAAGCTCTACTACTAAGGAAAAAACCTCCAATTTTCAAATGTTTGCAACAAGCTGACTCTCAAAAATAATTTTCAAAACTACCAAATCACCCCCCTACACACACTACTTGACAATATTTAAATGGGCTGTGTTTTCCAATCAATGTAATGTTGTGTTTCATAATATGGCACAGTAAATTTAATAAAAAGAGAAACAGTATTTTATTATCAACTTCAAATTCTAAAAAAGTCACTATATATAGTTAAGAGATAAACTTCAGACATTATCAAGAGTTAGGATTTTTAAAACTTATCAAGAATTAAAGCTGAACAAACCACTACTTTAAAAAGATATTTTAGTCTTTTCTGTATAAACTGCTTTTAATTCTAAATTGAATAGCCTGTGATCTCTGTTTCTTGCTTTATTTAGGAGAAATGGATTGGAGAAGTAGCAATGTTTAAGTACCTCTCCCAGCATTATTTTTTTTTAATTATTTTTTTTGTGTGTGTACCATCAAACTGAATCTGACTGGTATAGGAGGAGATTGCCCCTTCTTCTCCAGCAGAGCATCTGGTGGACTTGAACCACGTACCTCTGGGATTGCAGTACAGCTTTTTGCCACCAGACCACCAGAGCTCCCCTCTCCCAACATTTTTAAGTTTCAGAGACCAAAAGGGAAAAAAAAATACTATAGTCTAAGTTTGGTATCCACTTTAGCCTATGTAAAAGAGACAAAAACATTTTAATCTTTTAAGGCTATGGATTTTGATTAATCATTAAACTCCACATAAAAAACAACAAAGCACAAAAGAGTTTTCATGTGCTTAGCTTATTTTATTTCTTCATTTCAAAATCAACCATGATGTTCAAGTATTATAAAGTTACCAAGCCATTTTCACCTAAAGAAAACACAATTCCCTATTCCCTAAGGCAGGACTAACATTTTACTGATGAGAAAACCAAAGCAAAGGGCATAAAAACCTCATGCTGGCTGGTGGTACAAAGGTAGGATGTGATGCTTGTCTTCAGTCTATAAGTCTTGTCTACACAAAGTTCCCACCTTGAACAGCAAGACTTGATAAATGAAAAAACAGACTATGGCAATTTGTTCCTTCCCTCACTTTTTTACAATCAGATGCAGAGCAAGCAAAAAGGAAATAAAATGAGAGGCCAGGATCATGGAGTAACAAACAGCTTCGATTACAAATAAATGACAGCACAAGAACTTTCCGCTAAACTTGCAGTGCCTATTTGTTCTTTTTATGGTCTATAAAATCTATGCAAGCATACATTTACGTATAATTATTTCAAATAGTCATAAAATAGCAAAAGCAAGACCTGCATGGAAATGTAGTTCTAACTGTTCAGAAAGGAAGAAACTGAGTTCTAGCTCCTTTATCATTCCATCTTTCTTCTTTTCATAGCAGGTGGGTGCTAGCTGATTCCTTTGAGAACTATGACATAAAATAGGATTTTTTGGGGGTCTCTTTTTCCTTTAAGTATTGTTCCCAAAAGCCTTATGGTATAATGATGACGGGAGGGAGGAGAGCAAACTGGAGAAGTGTTGTTTGGGTCAGCAGTTTCAGCCCCATCACAGGCTTCTCTGTAATGACTAATTTGCAGCATACACCCAGAAATACCCAAGCTTCATGAATTTATAATGACAATGCACACTTTGCCTGTTACAGGCAGTAAAGTAAACCTCCTGTCAAAATGCCAAGACAATGCAGAGCAGAAACAATTTCAAGGATGTGGCCAAGGAGGCCATGAAGTGTATGAGTAAGCAAGTAACTTCCAAACTGGATCTCCATTCTGGAACAGCAGATGGGGGTTGTTTCAAGAGGATGAAAGAGTAAATAAAAGCCCCATCCCACTCCAAAGGGCTGAATTAAAAATTCACAGTTCCGGATTTCTCTATTTGCAGGGGAGGTCATCTATAATAAAGGTGGTAATATTTCTATTCCAGCTAATAAAAGTGCAAAAGGATTTGTGAGTTTAGAGCTCTGGTTAATGATTCAGACATAAAAGCTACATGATTCAAGGCAGTATTTCTCAACGCCAGGACTGCATGTGTGAATGTAGTGCACAATCATCAGTTTATAATAAAAGAAACGAGATATGCTAAAGTGCATTAAAAGAAACGAGGAGCCATATGGGGTGCTGAGGCAAATGATATGGATGGATCCAGGCATAAAACATATGGTAGTCCATCTGCATGGAACACTCAGCTAGGCTTCCTACTCTAAGGAGGCATAACCCCTGCATTTCAATAGCACTGCTCTTTAAAAGAAATCTCTGAAAAGGAGCCCTTTTCAATAATAACTAGATTAATTGTTCCACTTCAACAAGTTGTCCACAGAAATCACTCAACACAGCACCTTCTGGATTAATCTAGTGGTGAGTTTAATGAGGACATATTAAAATGCCAAGAGGAGCTTCAAATTCCAAGTTCTTAAAACTAAGGCACCTTAGTTTTCTAAATCTTTAAATTTTTAAGCTTTTAGAGGCTGGCAGAGAAATCTTCACCACCACATTCCAACTCCGTCACAGGAGCCTATGGCAACTATGTGAGACAATATCCAAGCAGCCAGAGAGAGAACAATTCTGACTAACATTTCAATTTCCATTTCATGAGTCAGAATCCACAGGGCAGCAAAGGATTTAATGGGATACTTGATCATTGTGGATACATTTTTTTAACACAAAAATGCTTGAAAGCACCCTGATACATCTAGAAACGTTTCTATGCAACTGCAAGCTGATTATGATATTTTCTAAGATCTTTAAAGCCTTAATCATTCTAAAACTTGCTATTGTACTTTCCTATTAAAACTTCAGTCTATGTTCTCTTGTGACAGTTTTAAAATGCAGCTGCTACATAACAATGTAAAACAAATGAAGTCATCTCAAACGCCACCTATTTTTCCACTATTTAAAAAGGACCTCCCTGATTTTTAGCACACCTGGCATGACTTAATAAATAAAAATCACTCCACACATATGGGTGGCACTTGAGTTCAGGACTCTGCAGCTCAGAGGGCAATCGGTGCCATCATATAAACACATGTCAACAAGGAAAAGAAATTTAGCTAACGTTCTGGCTGTTCTTACACTAAAAAAAAAAAAAACCAACCAAATCCCCCCCCAAAAACCCCAAGAAGTTTCTTTCACTTTTGGCATGAAAAAAACTCCTTGTCTAAGCAAACGCTAAAAAAAGTGGTACACTTTTTTGCAAAGAGCATTTAGATTCCAACTCTACAGTTTTGAAAGAAAACTACGTGATAGTACATGCTAAAGGGCTCATCTGCAGACTTACTCACTAAAAAAATATTTCATCCTACTGCTTCCTTAAGGCAAGCACTGCCCTTCAGACAGCAAGGAGCACGAGATCTGTCAATCTTTCCCACACCCCGAAAACACGCGGCTAGCCACAAAGCCCGCGTTTGGTCAGAGCGATTGAAAGGAGAATTAAAAGCAACTTTTGCAAAGACGAAGGAAACTCCTGTTCAAAAGAACTACTGGTTACTTCGAGATTACCCCACAGGTTTCCAAAAGGTTAAAACCTTTCCATTTGGTTCGATTCTTTCGTCGACAGCCCTTTTCCTCCCCCAACTCCACAGAAGCAGCACAAGGCTCCTTGTCTCTCCTCAAGGAGGCGGCGGCGGTGAAGGAAACCTGATCCGAGCTTGACTTTCAGTAAACACCAATGCAGAGAGCAATAAAGCATCCGGAACATTTGTCTCAGGCGCAAAGCACAGCAGCTTTCGCCCGTTAAATCTTTGATAAGCAGCTGTTGGAGGAAAGATTTATCAACGTCCCTGCCAAAGGAGATCGGGAGGGAAGGGGCCTCGCTGAGGCGCCAGGGACACACCGCCCGCCAGCGGCTGGGTTCGGCTAAGGTGCGTGCCAAGGGTTCGGGAGGCCTATCCCGTCCGCCACGCCGCCTTCCGCTCCGGCGAAGGCTTGGAGACTGGAGGCTGTTGGGGAACAAAGCACTCAGACCTCGGAGGGCACCCCCGCGCCCGCGTGCCGCGTACCTGCGTGGAGCAGCCCGAGGCTGAGCAGTAGCAGCAGCAGTAGCGCCAGGGGCGGCGGGCAGGGCCGGGGGCGGCGGCACTGCTCAGCCCCGGCGGTGGTGGCGGAAGGTGCTGCTCTCAAGCCCATGCCCGTCCATGCAGATTTCGTGGGCTCCGGCGAGAGCGGCGGTGCGGGCGCCGTGGCGGGTCCAGGGCCGTGGCTGCGGCATGGGCCGACGGGCGCGCCTCGTTTCCTCTTCTTCCTCCTTCAGGCCAGCATCGGAGACAGACCGCCGCCACCGCCGCAGCGAGCAGCGCGCCGCGGGCGGAGCGAATTGGCGGCAGCAGCAACCGGGCGCAGAGGCATCGCGATGGTCCGAGGCAGCAGCGGGAGGGAGAGGGGCGAGAAAGAGCACACAAAGGCTGTGAGCGAGAGTGCCGAGCGAGGCCGAGAGTGTGAGAGCCCCAGCCCGGGCCAGTTGTCCGTTCGGGTGTGTGCACGGGCGTGGAACGACCCAAGGCGCGCCCAGCTCCTGCGACCAGCCGGTGGTGGCCTGGGCGTCGCTGTGCAGCGGCCCTCGCGGTCAATCAATCTCGGACCCGCAGTGCCGCCCCACCCCCTCCGGCACTAACCAATCCTCATCGCCCTGGTCCCCCATAGCTCTGCTCCTCCCTCTAGCCCCATTGGTTGTAAACTCGAGTCGGGCCTTGCCCGCCACTCACTGGGCCCCAAGGGCCCGCCCTACGCCTCAACCCACTTGCTCAGTGTAAGGCGAGTTCTGTGGCCTCCAACTGAGAATCGCGTCCATAGCGCCTTAGCGCTGCCTCTTCTCCGCCCTCCTCATCTCCCCATCCACCCCCTTGCGTGATTTACTGTGTCAACGCGCCCAATAGAAAGAGATGATGGCAATTCTGTACCTCGCCGGCGTTACAAAAGACCCGATCTTTGGCCTCTCCTTGAATTAATGTGATAGGGTTCAACTTCTAAAGCTGGGTTTGTTTGGTTTTTTAATATTAAAAAGAAAATCCTCGCTCCGCCCTGCAATTCCAGCTCTTGCTCCCCTCTGAGGAAGCGGGAGCTCTTAGGGAGCGCCTAGTGCAGGTCCCTGACAGCCAATCACAAGGGACTGTGTTCCCTGTGGGTTGGGATATTTTGTAAAACAAACCTTAGAAATCAGAACTGTGGCCCCAGGCTGAGTTTAGGACTGGGTGCCCGCCACTACTGGTGGAATTCACTTGTAGTTGGAGGAAGTTTATGTGTTGTTTCTTTGACATTTCCCTTTTAGAAAGCAGCTGGGAGAGGTCTGAGAGTAGGCAAACTGTAATGCATACGTTAGAGTATAATTAGATTAAATGAAGGTGGTAAATTTTTGTGCCGTGTAGAATAATTATGGCACGGTTTGTTATTACTAAGTCGTTTTTTCTACACATTTCTAGGGTTCAATTAGCAGGTGAATTCAAGGGCAGTTCAGTTGCTATTTTTCCTATTGGATATGTCCAAAAAAGGGAGCCTTGATAGCTCTGTGGAAAGTAACTGCCCTTCCAACACAAAGGCATATGGTTCAAATCCACTAGCTCTGCCGGAGAAGGATGGACAATCTCTCTGTGTGCTTACCTGCCTCTGAAAACACACTGGAGGATCAGCTTTGGGTCGGTTGGGACTAGAGAGTACACACAGCAACAACACAAGCCCCCACACCCAGTCTCCCCCAAAGAGGAAAAAACATGAACTGTCTTTTGAGAAATCGCCTGCCAAGTGAAGAACCTGTAAAGCAGTTGTGAGATTGATGATAGGGTCCAATTTGGTTATAAGTGGGTGTGAAGTGGCATCTAATCTCAAGAAAGGTCTCAAACCAAGAAGTCATTTAACATTACCCTTGCCTTTGCAGTTCCCCGGACAGCTCGGGGCTGCCATTTTCAATCTGCTCACATCCACATCTTGTTTGCAGCTGTACCGACACCACATTACTCAGAATCTCTAATTAATAATTTTGTTTCAACCATGGAAACGCTAGTATTTCACATTTTATAATTAACTCATCAATGAACAGGATTTTGAAGGCAATCCTCTGGTCACACTATCCTCGTTAGACACAGGTGAGTTGCTCAAATCACTAGTCCTTAATGAACACAGCCTATCTTTACTGTAACTCTTCATTGCTTGCTTATTACATACAATGATGACTCAAGTGGTAAACACACCTTTCGGTAACCAAGATTATAATCCAAGCCTTGTATATACTCATAATAAGAATATAATTAATAATAGTTTCAGAGTTGCCTGGAGAAATGACTTTTGTTACAGGCGGCATGAGATAGGATTTTAAGATAATACTATTGGCTAAATATTAAGGAAGGTCTGGTGGCTTAATGGTAAAGAGTTGCACTGCTAACATAAAGGCAGGTTCAGATTCACCAGCTGGTGTGTGTGAGCAAACATGGGCAATCTCCAGTGTGATTTACTACCTCTGAAACCGTGCTGGAGGGTCAACTAAGAGTCAGTTCCAACTTGAGTACATAACAAACAAAATCAAATACTATTAGAGGTAAAATTTACTCTCTTACAATTACTGCATATATCAATGGAATACAATTGATGACAGCCTAGTAAACTTTCAAAAGCAATCAAATACAAACAAGAAGTTTATGAAAGTATTTTGCTGAGACTACAAAGACTTGTAAAATGAAGTTTCATCTTTCTTATCCCAAATTTTCATTCAATTCCTACCAAAGAAGCATCACATCTTATCTTCGAGGCATATATTCAGTGTTAAATAAAATCCAGCTTGGTTTGAGTCTTTTGCTTGAGATTTCCCATGATCCCCCCCTTTGCTTTCCTGTCCACCCCATCCTTTCCCTTTTCTTCTCCCCGCCCCCAATCCTTTTCCTCAAGTACACCAATGCTCTAGATTTTATCACTAGAGGGCGCACTCGGGTCACTACAAATCCTGGCGTTGTAAAACGGAACTGTTCTTAAAAGGAAAAACTTCATCTCCTCTAAGGTGCTTTATTGCTTCTCTGTTGTAAAATTTGATAAGCCCAAGATTTATAAGCCTAACCATTCACTTTTTATTGCTGCAAAAGTGTTCACCGGGTTAGAGGAAAATGCTAATTTTCACAATTAAATGGCAAGGTGGTTCCTATTTTCAAGTGTCAAGACATTAGGCCAGCAGACACTTGCGGAGTAAAATCAGATTGTTAGATTACAATAGACTTCAAAAGTAAATGGTGGTCAATGGTCATTTATAGAGCACTCAGTTTTTAACCACTTCTGCTTAAGATTAAGAATTATTTCAACCTACACACAAAAAAAACTGTGGAGGGGGAATAGGACTGGAGCACAAACCACAAACAATCGATGACTTACACACGTTTACACTTTAATGACGAAAACAGTGAGCGATGGATTTTGCAACTCACAGATCCACCCTATTACTTTGTTTTCAGGAAGGAAAGATGAGCACGCACTATATGTACGTGCAAGTGGATAACATTAAAACACCTGCCAGAATCATTAATGGATTTTAAATAAGATGTGGTTTCCTTTCCTGAACCTCTATGTGGTATCTTAGTCTCTTGTTAGTATAATTCCATTTCTAGGTTATATGAAAGTATCTGTTTAAAGCATTTGTAGCAGAGCTAGGAATCTGATCCAAAGTCTTGATTTGTGCAACACATTCTGGAATAAGGGATCCCCAATGCATGGTGTCCGCAAAACAGAGGATGAACCAGTACCGAATCCAACAGTCCAGAGGCAAGGTTCATGGTTTGTACTTACATCATTCTTAACCCTTCAGCTCCTAGAGGGGACTCTGCAGAATCAGAGCGCGCAAGACCTGAGTATGAGAGAACAGAACTCGTTGTGAGCGCGATGTCCCTGGAGGGAGGGGGCCAGGGTGCAGGGCGCAGGTCGTGCAGAGAGCAGGTCACCTGCGCGGACATCATGACCGACCCTGCGATCCCTGCGGGCTCCGCCCCGGCTCGGACTGCTCAAAGTAGCAGGTGCAAAAAGCATTTGGGAGCCGCTTGCCAGCACGCGGAGGTAATGCGCTTCCTGTCCATTTATCTCAGGAAACCAGTGCAGCCTTCCCTTCGAAACAAAATTAACCTCTCATTAGCCAGCCACTCAATCTCAAGAAAGCCTTAAAAGCTTTAGTAGCTTACTAATGTATTTAGGCTTTTCTTTTAGGCAAAGGCAGCCACAGCCTTGACGGCGATCAGCTCCCTCCAGGGATGGGGGCCTCTGAGCTCCAGGGAGTCAACCTCTTCTTCCCTCTCCCAGTTTAGGACATTCTGAACAACTCAAGATCTCTGTAATACTTGGCAAATCCAACACCTAATGGACAAACTTGACGTAGCTCTTTGAGAAGCTACCAAAACAAGTTCACCAATTTCACTAGCGCCCCTCACATTAAAAAAAAAAAAATCTCAATTTTTCTGTCCTCTAGGAACGGGAAGAGCACCCGGGAGGAGCTTCAACAGCCAAATGTTTTCCAGGTCCCAAGGGGTCGCCAGCCTTGTCTGCAGCTCGTGCGTGAAACCCTGATGGGGTAATAGGGGCACAGCGTTTTTAAACTAGGATCTAGCCAGTTCCAGGCTAGGTCTGCAAGTGGCGAAAAGGGGCCTTTTGGAGCAACGGGTTTTCTCACCCTGGCTCTCCGCCGCCCTGAGGTTGGCAGATTTATACCACACAGGTGGATGGAGACTTAAACAAAACAGTCCCGCTCGCTGCCTGCCGGTCGCCCCCCACGTCCCCCTGGCCCACCGCAAACTTCAACAAAAATAAACAACTCACCACAGGCATTCCCTTGTCTGCAGCGCGACGCTTGCCAGCTGGGAAAATAAGCCGCAAGCCACGAGGGCGGGACGCAGAGGGAGGGCAGTGCGGCGCCCGCCCTTCTCCCCCAGGTGGGGCCGCGGTGCCGGGGGCGGACGGGGGCTCCGCCTGGGGGCACTTCTGCCTTCTATGGGACCCCGAGCTGGCGCCGGATGGCCGGCTGCGCCTTTCCAGTTTTCCGACACCTAGGGGAGGGGACTGGGAGGCAAATACTTCAATTCCCTCCAGCTTCCTCGAAGCTGCTTTCTTCTCCCGAGTCTGCAACCATTGCCTAAAAGAGCACGGACGCCAGGCCCCCGGGCCTGTGCCATACCGCCCCCTGCCGTCGCCACCCAGAACGTTCCAGTGCGGCTGTCGGCTTAGAGGTACAGCGGCGCTCCAGAACCCCGCCTCCCCGTCCCAGCTCGGCTCTCACCTCTCTCACCACTCCCCACACGCTCAAA